ACACGGTGAAGGCCAGCTCCTGCTGCAGGGGCACCRGCACCGTGGGCACATGTCCTGGCACTGCCGTGGCCACATTATGCCCCTGACACCGGCCCCCGCCCCTTACCCGCAGCTTCTGCAAGCCACAGATCCGGCTGTAGAGGCAGCAGGAGGGGCAGCCGAGGCTCCAGACAGGTGCCAGGGGGCTGCCCACCTCCTCCGGGCTCTCCTTGTTGGTGCACTTGAGGTCCACGTCCAGCTCCTGCCACGGGCGGCATCCACATGGAAACCACCACGAGTGCCCCAGCCCCGTTCCCCAGCAACCACTCTGGTGTGGCTTTGGCAGCCCCATCCCACCTCAGGGATGTCAGTGAGCCTGGCCTCGCACTTGGTGATGTCCGTGGGGGCGGCCACCACCCGCGTGTAGATGATCATGATGTTGGAGAACTCGGCGGCGAAGCCCAGCTGGACGGTGACGCCGCAGTCGAAGCGGAGGTGGCGGCTCTCCGGCAGCACTGGGGAGGGGACAGGGACAGCAGGGCTGGGACCTGCAGGGCCTATGGGCTGGAGCTGTACCCACAGGAGAGGAGACTGTTGGGTCACCCCAGAGCAGGGATGCTGACATGGTGGTCCTGCCTCCAGGTTGGTGGTTCTGTGCCAGCTTCTCCTCCAGCTGGGAGGAACCTGGCGGGTGCTGCCTGCAGCCTCTCCCTGCACCTCGGGCTGTCCCTGCTCCAGGTGCCAGCTCTGGACGGGGTGGCTGTGACTCACCATGAGCCTTGGCCCACTGCAGGTTCCTGGCAGAGGTCTCGTCCCGGCCCGGGGGGCGGATGGGGTCCGTCAGAGCTCGTCTCTCCGAGAGGTTGCTGCGAAGCTCCAGCGCCTGCCGGCCCCGCGTGATCTCCAGCGTGCCCATGTCTGCCGTGGCACAGGGGGTCAGCAGGGGCCACCAGGGGATCACTGTACCCCACTACTCCCCACTCACCCTCGGCCACCTTGTCCAGCAGCACCGTGATCTTCTCGTCCTCCAGCAGCCAGCGCTTGAGGAAGGTGACGAAGATGCCGTTGGAGAGCTCGCCCTGGCTCAGCTCATAGGCTTCGGCATCCGCACACCTGCAGGGATGGGCAGCAGTCGGCTGCATCGTGGGCTCTGGCACTTCCCCAGGAACTGGCCCCCAACAGGACAATAGTCCTGGGGAAGCCAGAGGTGGGCACCTCTGGCTCCTGTTCTCATCTCACCATCTGGCCACTGTGCCAGGGACAGGTGGGAGCCATGGCTGGATCCTGGGTGCTTAAAGCCTCACCAGCCCAAATCCCTGTGCTCCAGAGGAGCCTCAGGGCTTCATGCCCTCGGGGGCTGCCCAAAGCTGAGCAGTGCCATGGACACCTTCCTGCCCTGTGAGGGACTCAGGGCTGCTGTTTGCCTACCACCTCCAGCATTGAGCAGAGGGATACAAGGAGGGGGGAGAGACACAGGCAGGGGAGCTGAGCCCCTGCCCCACTCTGAGCCAGGAAGGGAGACTCAGCCCCGCTGCCCACACTGGGGAGATGGCAGGAGGGACCCACGTGGCATAGCCAAAGACGATATTGGCCGTGACCTCCAGCGCCCCGACCTGCGGGATGACATCGTCGTTGAGGTTCCTGCAAGAGAATGATGCTGGGTAGAGCCAGGAACTGCCGGAACTGCCCCCTCCAAAGCCCACCCCAAGGCACCTCGGAGCCCAGGGGCTGCCCTGTGCCCCTCTGCCCACCCATCATGGTGTTTGCCAGCTCAGAGGGGCAGTGATGTTCTGGGGCGTTTAGACAAAGACAATGGGTTTAGACAGGCCCCCAGGGGTGCCCTGCACCGCTCCCTCAGGAGCCAGCACCCACGGGTCCCTGTGCTGGGATGTCCCCAAGCAGGTGTGTCCCTGGGGGGTGGCAGGGCTGGGTCACCTCTTGCGGCACATGTCGAGCAGGAAGGTGTTGAGGCCGGTGTGGCGCTCCTGCATCGCCCGCAGCACCCGCTGCACGCACAGGCAGTGCGCCGACGTGTAGGCGCTGGGCGCGTCGATGGGCACCATGAAGCTGTTGCCAAAATTTTCATAGCCGTGCCCGGCGTAGTAGAGCAAACCTGCCAGGGGGAATGGAGGGCAGGTGACGTGGTGACATCCCTGGACCTGCCAGCACCCTCCTTCTTGCTCAGTCCCTCCACCAGCACAGAACCCCCCGGTTCCCCCAGGCTGGAGCTGCCCTGGGGGGTGCTGTCCCACCGTAGACGCCCTTGTCGAGGAGGAGGAGGAACTCGTTGACAGCCATCTGCATCTCAGCCTTGCACAGGTCCAGCAGCGAGACCACCTTGAAGTCGAGCTGGCGGAGGAGGGCACTGAGGGCATGAACGTCCACCATGGGCGCCTGCAGCTGCTTGTGGTGCAGGTAGTGCATGTTGCCGATCAGCAGCGCCACTTTGTCCGTGGCTGCAAGGGTGGGAGAGGGAGGTCTTGAGAAAGGGGTGGGATGCTTCTGCTGTCCCCACTACCATTCAGCCCACAGAGGTGACACCCAGCTGTGACCAGCATCACTGTCCCTGGGTATTGAAGTGCCCTGTGGTGTCCCTGCCTCGCTGATCCCTGAACCGTGGGGGTAGGGTTGGAGGTTGGGGTTAGGGATTTGGGTTGGGAGTTAGAGTGCTGATCCACTCTCTTGGTTAAGGCTGGGGTGCTGCTTTGCTCTCCCAGTGTGCTGCACCCAAAGAACCCCTGGCCGAGCAAAGCCTCCTGGGGTGACAGTGGTGACACTGGGGACAGTCAGAGCCACCCAGGGCCACCACCCCCTCCTTGGCAGGCTCTTACCATACAACTGGCCGGGATTGCCACACTCTGGGGAGCCTGTGAAGAGAGAAACACAGTGCCAGGGCCCTCCAGTGCCAGGGGAGCGTGGTGGGCAGAGCAGCACGGACCTGCTCTCTCTGCCCACACCTACCTCCATCCCCTTCCTGCCAGGAGCCTCCAGAGGTGAAGAGCCGTGGGCCTGTGGCAAAGGGGGGGTCAGGGATCCTATGTATGGCAGCACCTCCCAGCATGGGCTGCAGCCCCCCAAAACTGCAGAGCAGCCATGAGGGCTTAATGGGGAGCAGGGCAGGGTCAGGACACCCCATGCAGGGAGAGAGTCACAGAGGTTTGTCCGGGGCCCTCACCGATCTCCACATCTACCTCCTGGCTCCACACCTCATGGAACAGGTTGAACACTCGGCAGCAGTAGCTGCCCCGCTCGGCCGTTGTCACCAGCTTCACCTGCCAGTGGGACAGAGCGGGAGGCTGGGGTGGTGTGTTGGACCACACTGCACTGTGCCACACTGTGTTGTGCCGTGCCAACACTGTGCCATGCCATGCCACACCATGCCAACACTGTGCCATGCCAGGGGACCCACCATACCTGGAGCTGAGGTGCCTGAGCCCCCTCCACAGGACGTCTGTTCCTGAACCACTGGTACTGGGGCGGGGGGTTGCCGATGGCTCTGCACTCCAGCGCCAGCGTGTCCCCCTCGGCCAGGCGGCACGGCCGTGGCTGCCGCAGGATCTGCAGCCCTGCCATGCTCGGGCAGTAGCCACTGGCTGGGGAAGGGACAGGGTGGCAAATTCAGCACCCAGCCATGGCAGCGCTCAGCAGAGCTGTTCCAGGCCCCAAGTTCCTCACTCATAGGCCCTGGCACCCAGGGGTAGCATGAGGCATTGTGCAAGAGGAAGACACAGGGCATGTGGCTCCTCTGTGGGCACTGTGACCCCAGCAAGCCGAGAGACCCTTGTGGCTGAGCCAGTGACTGACAGGGCAAGCAATGCCCCTCAGGATCCATCCCTGTCCCAACAGGGCCAGCGGTGCTGCATGGATGCCAGCCAGGGACGCAGATCTAGGAGCCCACCTGAGCTGGGGCTGCTGCTCTTCTCCACCTGGACGTGGGCCCACCTGGAGAAGGCGAAGGTGGCCCCACAGTTCACCCGGCAGATGTACCACTCGGGCTGGCCCGGCGGGGCGGCCGTGTCGATCACCAGCTCCGGGGACGTGGCTCCAGGCACCTACAAGACAGGAGGTGGCCAAAGAGTCAGGGGCTCCCTCTTACCTGTGTGGGTGCCCTCGCTGTGGACAGGGCATGGGGGTCCTGCTTCACATGGCACAGCGGGGCCTCACCTCCCGTTTCCCACAGAACCACTGGTACATGAGCCCCGGCGGGCCGGTGGCACAGCAGGTCAGGGACACTCGTGTCCCCTCTGCCACCACCTGTGACTCCGGCTGCACCGTGATGCGGATCATGTCCTGGACTGCAGGAGAGGAGAGCACCGTTCCACACCATCCCATCCCATTCAGTCCCATCCTATCCTGTCCCATTGTACCCTTTCCCATCCCCCCCCAACAGCCTGCCCAAGCCCAGCCGAGCCCAGCCCATCCTATCACATCCTCTGTCCTGTCCCAACCATCTCATCCTATCTTGTCCCATTGGTACATTCAGTGCCATCCCACCTCACCCATTTTATCCTGTTCCAGTCTATCCCACCCCGCTCTGCTCCATCCTATCCTATCTCATCCCATCCCATGCTGTCCAAACCTGTTCCATCCCATCCCATCTGACCCCATCTCAGCCTGTCCCCCATCCCATCAGACCACATCCCATCCTGCCTCACCCTGCTGCATCCATCCCACCCCACCCCACCCACCCAGGATCCCTCTACCACAGCACAGCCCCAACAAGGAAGAGCTGCCCTTCACCTCATCCGCTTCCTCCCGCTGACCCCCGTCCCCGGTGGCCCCTCCAGCCCCGCGGTTCCCGCTGCCCGTCCGTACCGGCAGCGCTGAGGACCCGGCAGGCCTTTGTGTGCCCCATCTGCTCCAGGCAGCCCAGCAGGTACTTGAGGGTGCAGTCGCGCTCGGCCAGGAGCTGCAGCAGGCACTGCGTGGGGCTGCCGCGGGGCTCCAGCACCTTCAGCGAGCACATCTCCAGCTCCTCCGCGCTGCGAGCGCCCGCGGCCGTCAGTGCCCCCTCCCTCCCGGGGCGGGCGGGCCCCCACCAGGGCTCTCGGCGGTGTCCCCTGCCCAGGGGATGGCTCTGGGGACCCACGCGCCCCTCGCCCGGCCCACGGCAGGGCTGTGCCCACCGGCGTTTTGTCACCCGGTCGGGGACAGCCCCCGGCGATGCCCCCCCAGCCCTACCTGCACTTGAAGCGTTTCTCAGCCCCGGCCAGCTCAGCCAGCTTGCGCCAGCCCCGGCCCGCGTTATCCAGGAGCTCGCACAGCCGGGCCACCACCTCCTCGCCCAGGGCGCCGATGGGCACGCTCCAGTCCCCCATCCCTGCTGGGGACACCGAGGGAACGAGCCGTCAGTGAGTCACAGGGTGACAGGGTCCCACTGGACACCACCGGGCACAGTGTGCCTCAGCAGGGAGAGCACCAGCATGAGCTCACCAGCGTCAGGTCCCCTCCTAGCAGGAGCCTGGGGAGGTGCTGGGAACCAGCTGGGTAGTGCTGCTGGATCTGGCCACCGGCAGCCAGCCAGGAATGTCACACACTCTCCCTCCGTGAGCTGTGACAGCACCCTGGGGAACCCCACTCACCCCCCAGCCTCAGGCAAGGAGCCAGGGCATTTTAACCCAGTCCCAAGAAAGGAATTGGGGTCCACAGAACTGGAAAGAGGGGATGTCCCCTTTCACCTTCCCTGTCCCTTCAGGGACCACAGAGAATGGGGCCCAGGGGCATCTCTCCCCCTGGCAGAGGCCCCAGTGGGACAGCAGCAGTCCCCTTGTTGGCACGAGTCCTCTGTGTGGTGGCTCCAGAGCCAGCACAAACCTTTCCAGGCCACCAAGAGGGGCTGTGGAGGGGTCAGGGGAGCGTATGCGGGGGTCCTGGGGTTGGGACCCATCTTAGCTTGCCCTGACCTGGGAAAGGTTTTGACAACGAGGGGAGCATGGCATGAATCACGTGGACAGGGGCAGCACCCAGGGAACAGCTCCTTCCTCCTCCCCTCAGGTCCCTCCCCAACAACCTGCCCCAGAGGAGCACTTGCCCCCAGGACTGAGCTGCCCAGGGCAGCTGGGTGACACTCACCCAAGCAGGGGGCTCCAAGGCGGAGGGCAGGGATCCAGGTGCTCCCTCTGCTCACCTTCTGCTGGACTTGGGGGGCTGGACACGCTGGAGGTGGTGAGGGGAGGGCAGGGCAGAGGACAGGCCCGGCGGGACGGGCACTCACCGCGTGGTGCAGCCGGATGAGTCTCGGCAGCTCCGAGGGTGTGCACCCAGCCCCACGCAGAGGAAACGAGGGCTCAGCCCAAAATCTGCCCCGGCCCCCGCGCTGCAGCTCAGCACTTCTGCTTCCCTCTGCCTTCCTTCCTGTTGTGGGGCGTGTGGGTGTGCAGCTGCCACGGGGTGCCCACGTGGGCACCCACCCACAGCCCCCCAGGGAGCCAGGCACGGCCCCCAGCCCTGCTGCAGGGCACGGGGCACCAGGGACACTGCCGGGCTGGGCAGGGGCTCCACCGCCCCCTCCTCGCTATGGGGGGACCTTATGGGTGGCTGTTTGTCCCCACAGCCCAACTCGAGCCCAGGCAGGAGCTGCAGGGCAGCAAGTCCAGGATGGAGGTGAACCAAGGTGACGGGGGCACCTGTCAGCCAGGTGAGACCAACCCAGGGGCAGGACCACGGCTGGGGAAGCTGCTGGGCTTTGCCAGGCTGGAGCCACGTGAGGACAGGCAGGGACAGGGCAGCGAGGGCCCGGCTGCTGTGAGGAAGACCCTGCCTCCACCATGCAGCCCAGCCCAGCCCTTGCATCCCAGCACCACTGCTCCTGCTGCCAAGGGAGGAAAGCAGAACAAGGGGCCACTATGTCCCCCCTCACCTTGCCTGCTGCCTGGCAGCACCACCAGAGCCTGGTCCTCCTGCCCCCAGGAGCACAGGCTGCTCAGCCCCCAAGACCCCCAGCCAGAGACGCAGTGACAACGGGGTGAGGGGGGGCATCCCCTCCCACCCCCCTGTGGAGCCCTTAGACTGAGGTACAGACAGTGATGGAGCACGACCTGTGTGTGGTGTGGGCTCCCTCCACGAGCCAAAACCTGAGCTTCTGCCTTCGCAAACACACCCAGAATTTGTGTTGCCTCAGCCCCTGGCACGGGGGGGGGGACCCACACCAAGTGTGTCAAGGTCCCAAGTTTTACACAGCCTTTGTAACAGATATCAGTCTCACTCCAGATTTATTTCCTGTTTATATCAAGCGACCAAAAGCAGGAGCAGGTCCCAGTGCCACCTGTGCTGGTGCGTGGGGCAGCCCTGAGCTTGGCAGCACCTAAAACTTCTTGCCCTTCTTCAACTTGTTGCGCTGCCACGTGTTGTATTTCCGCAGCCGCCTCCAATACTCGAGCGTGTCAGGGTCCAGCTCCTCCAGCTTCTTGGGGGGCCCGAGGTGGATCTTAAAGAGCCTGGGGGCAAATGCAGAGGATGTGAGGCTTCGGGAAGGAGGGAAAAAGGGACAAGGACGGGACACAGCCGCGGACGTGAGTGACCAGGACGTGCAGATCCCTCACCCCCACATCCACAGCGCACCCACTCCTGTCTCCCTGGCCCCAGGAAGGTCCCTGGGCTGCAGAGGGGCAGCTGCCTCCTCCCAGAGCACTTCGCTGTCCCTGTGCCTCTCGGACGGCACTTCTGTAGGGACACGGAGGGGAACGGGGCAGCACCCACCAGTCGGGGTACTCGGAGTCGGGCTTCAGGGCCACCTCCGGGCCCTCCTTGAAGTAGTTGACCCCCATGGCGTGGGTGGCGAGCATGGTGGGGTCCGTGCACACCTCCGGCCCCTTCAGCGCCTCCTTGGGCGCGCCCTTGCCCTTGGCCTTGGCGGCTGTGGGGACAAGGGTAGGGTCAGAGCAGGGGCGACAGG